TGGGGTCCGGGCGGCGCCGCCCCGCAGTGCCCCCGGGGGCGGGGGTGGCTCCGGTCCGCGGGCGGCACCGGGAGGCAGCTCCGCACCTGGGCAGTGCCGGCGGGCCCGCCGTGCCCGGGGGCAGCCGGGCAGGGCCGCCCGAGCCGCCGTGTGCGGGCGGCGCTCGCTCACCTGCGGGAGACAAAGGGAGGCAGCGGCGGCCCCGCGGCCCTTCCCGGGCGCCCCCGCCGGGCCGGGGGGATCTGGCGCCCTTGTGTGAACTTGAGCGCAGCACCTCGGGCGGGTCGGTGCGGGTGTGTCGCGCTATTTGTGGCCGGCCCTCGGAGTCAACAACTTAACAAAAGCCCACACCGAGGAGCCAGCGAGGCCGGGAGGGAGCTCGTGGAGGTGCGGGGTGCTGCAGCCCGCCTGGAAAGTTGTCCTGACAGTTGTTTGAAATGCATCGCTTGTTCAATATCTGAGTCACGGGGAATTATTGAATGCTTACTTATTATGCCGTTAGTGTTTAGGGACGTGTGAGCTCCCGGAAGGTAGTTTACTCCAGCTACTGCTTGATTTCTTAGTATGTTAGTAATCTCTGAGAAAACAGTGAAGGGCTAAGCTTGTTTTCGTAAAGCTTGCAAGTTGTCTGCGTTTTGGTTATATATGTTGTTTCCATTTGCATGTTTGCATCTATTTTTATACAACTTTTGCATGCTCTAGATGAACACTTTGCAGATGGTGGTTCTTACAGACACCGGTGAAGGCTGGTCTGCGTGAAAATACTGGCTGAGGAGTCAGGTGTGCTCGACAAGGAGTGGTGCCCCTTGGGAAGAAAGGTATGAATAGGGTTGGATTCTGACAAGGTTATTGTAGGACCAGTCTCCCAGGCAGTGGCAGTGCAGAGTACAGCCTGAACTCTTAGGAAAACTGCCCAGGGAGAAGCAGAACCATGGAATCTATTGAGCTGTAGCCAGGGTATCTCATCTGGCCTGAACTGTTAAGAATTTATCTTAATTTAGCCTCTGTAATTGAGTTTATTTCTGTATCAGCACTGTGGAAGAGTTCATTTCAGCAGTGAGTGAAGTTTGATGCTGAAAATGGAAAAAGATTACACAAGTCAACTGCTGCTGCTTTAAAGGACACTGTGAACAAGGTCACACAAAGAAACTTAAGGCAATGAGTTAATAGTGGCGTTTTTAACAACTTATCTTCTTGTATTATAAAGTAAGTAACAATTCCATAGCCACAGTGAGTAAGGGGTTTTTTTCCCCAGAGGAAAATAAAAGAAATATCACAAAGTATTTTTAGTATTTCTCAAGTCAGTTACCTGGTTCTGGAAGATCAGAAGAAAATACTCTGTGCCTGATAATCTCAAGAGAGAGATATGAAATACCTATTGCTTAAATCCTGGTTTTTTTGGGGGTGGTAGGGAGTCTTGAGTTCTAGGATAATGCTGAAGTTAGGAGTGATCATATATAATACGATATATGAGCCTACTGTATATGTATCATATATGATTGTACTTACGAGACTCTGTCTTATGTAAATGGTCTTGAAGAAAACACGATCTTGTGTTTCAAGGTAATTGAGTGAGCATCATTCTACTGTCAAGACTGGATGCTGTAGGGAGGTGAGAGTGCTGCTGCAGGGTTTGGGTTGCCCTAGGAAAGGCTCACCTCAGAGCAGCCCTACAGCTCTCTGAGCCCTACCTGTCTAAGGGTGGCTGAAGCTGTCACATCGGGTCTAGATAAACAGTGTCGTTTTGTGGGGACACACATAAAATCTAGCTAGAGGCAAATGTTTGCATGCAGAATCCCTGGTGCTACGCGTGCACCCGCCTGTGGGGAGAGCTGCCCCCGGGCCCTGAGTGCGGAGCGGGCTTTGCCATCCCGGGAGGAGCGGAGCTGATCGGGCTTTGCCATCCCGGGAGGAGCGGAGCTGATCGGGCTGTGCCGCCCAGGGCAGGGGCGCGGCGGCGCCCGCGGGCGGAGTGCTGGGGGAGAGGGAGGAGCTGACCTCTCGAACACCGAGGGTTGCCAGCCTTACTCAGCCTTAGCTGAGTAAGACATGGGAACAGTTCCAGTCGCAGTCCGAAGGGATCTCTGCTTCGGGTGAAAGACCTGCTCGCCTATCGCTTCCTGAACGTGGCCGGGCTGCTGCACCCGGGGCCGTGTGTGTCATCACCCGTGTCCTCTGCCGCGGGACAGCAGGAATGCTCCATGAAAGATGTGGTTCATGTTTCCACGTGGGGATGTGGCTCACCTTAGCTACCCTGTAGCGATTGGGTTCTTCCTCACTAGAAGAAAAGTGAGGCCTGAGTCTTTTTTGGTGTTCATGAATGAGTTTTCTTAGGTCTTCATTGCTAGTGAGACCATTTGTTATTATTAACCTCTTAATCAGATATTGAGACTGTATTTGAGGTATTAAAGCTTACAGTAAATGATTTTTCATACTTATTGTCCTCTAATTAGGGTTCTTCAACCTTCTTTACTAAACTGGGTGCCTTCAGCATTACAGGTAATTGTAAAGGAAAAAAAATGCAGTGAGGTTACAAGGTCTGACCAGCCATATCGCTTCAGTTGTTGATTAGTAACACAATGAAGTCAGTACTCCAAATGTCAATATTGTGCATTCACACCTGCTTCATTGTGAACCCCTCATAGGGCAGGTCTGATCAAGGCTTCCATGGCTCTTCAATCTGTGTTCTCTGAGGCAGCTTCATGAAAGGACATTACAATTAGCCATCCTCTGCGCTGCACATAGAGTACATGTGACGCAACAGCTGCATTAAAAAAATTCAAGCAAAATAAAAATTAATGCACTTGAATTAAATCAAGGCCATGGTATTTGTTTGCAGACCTACAGGGTTAATTTCCCACCTATACCATAGGTATCTCTTTCTTCTGTGTTGTGGAGGAGAATTAGAGCCTTTCTTGATCCTGATGATGTGATCTCTTTGTATAACTGCTTTGGTGTTCTGGCCAAACACAGAACAGAGCCTGACTCTTTTTGATCGTATGTTCAACATTACCAAATGTTTGCTATTGACTTGATAATTTTGCAACTTGGATGAAAGAACAAAATTTCTGCTGCTTATTTTTGTTGTTTCTTTTTTTGTTGTTGTTGTTTTGGAAAGGGATGAGACTGCAAAACTGACTTCAGAAGTGGATAGAACTATTTTTGTAGTGGTTGTGTTTTATTTAACTAGTATTTCTTAAAATTTTATGGTTTTTTAAACATAAAATGCAACTTGTTGAATCTCTCTGTCTTGAAGAAATTTTAAGCATGCATTCTCAATAAATAATCATATGGAACTGGCAGAAGAGAAATGAAAAATTCAAGCTTTTAAACACTTGTTAGCCCTGTGGGAAATTGGAGGCTTATGTTCTGTTTTTGGTTTCTGTGTGGGAGAAAGGACAAGGACCCATTCACTGTTTCTCTATATTTCAACTTTTGAGGTAGCAGAGCTTTGAGGTAGACTGCAACTCGGTAAGACTTGCATTTTTCTGGCATATGACCTGGAAGCCATGAAAGGGGTTGGTAACAACTTTGAAGAAGTGTTGCAAGAAGTCTGGTTTAGTAACAAGAAAAAAATAACACTTGCATGGCAGAGCTTCCAAAACTAGGAACAGAGTGGGAATGGCTGCAATTTGTTCATGTTTACCTTCTGCTGTTGTTGCTAAACAACTGCAGAGCTGCACTTAAAAATATCTATTTATGTAGAGCAGCAGGTAAGCAAGTTGTTTTGTACTGAGGCTGCAAATAGACTGTAATAATATGAATGTCAACGTACCATTTTATGGTAGAGAGTAAACACCAGAATCATGGCATTCTTTTCTACTGCTTTGTGTTCCTATTGTCAGCTCTGTTGAATGTGGTACCATCATTCCTTCTGCCAAGTCCTCGATAAAATCTGGCTTTGTGATTCCATTTAGAGTCCTGTAAATGGTGGTCACTTTCTAGTTACCTGTAGGAAATGCTTTCTGGAAGTAAAAGACGATGGATGCAAAAGAGAGAAAGACAGATTAAAGATGGGCACTTCTGTCTTGGCATCATACTTTAGCTTTTTATCTTCTACTTTTTCTCCTAAGTTATGTGGCAAATGTATTTTTTTCAAGGCTCAGATCAAATAACAGAAGTGGCAAAAGAAAACTGAAGATCTCTCAGTGTTTTCTGCTTTAGCTCTCCCCAGAAGTTCTTTTTTGTTATTTTTGTCCGTAGTACTGTTTAGGAACTGAGTTCACTCTGCATGTGTGTGCCTGCATAGAATTGCATTAGTTCCCCTCTGTGGCAGGGTAAATGCTACAAATCTCATCATAAAGTCTTAACTTGCAGAGCTACAAGTTTCTACATAACTTTTTTTATTCATTAAACATGGGTTTAAAAATGAAAAGATGTATTTGTTAACCTTTATAAGATTAAATGTGGCAGCATTTTACTTGAATTTTCCTGTGCTCTATGTGAATGCTGGAGGTCTTTCCGTTTACTTTCATGAGTTGTTTTTCAAGATTAAAAATCACATCTTTCGTGTTAATTTACTATGTTTTGTTCAGTGTAAGTTGGCAAGACTGATGCTTATCCACTCATGAATTCTGACATTAATGCCACATGATTAAATAGAGAGAACTTGTAATTCACGGGTGTGGATGCAGTTGTCTGGATTATAAGGTGCTGAAAGTACTTTTAAAAATTTTCATGTATTATTATCCTTTCATTTATTATCCATTTTGGTTTTGGTTCATAGTTCTTGTTTGTTACTGTCGAGGTTTTGGTTTGCATTTTCAGTTTTAACCCTTAAATATTTGGTTAGTTCAGGTTTTCTGTGAGTTAAATATCACAAAAAGCTCTCTTAAGAGCAAACTTAATATACAGAATTTAGAGCAATGAAACCAAAGTATTTGGGAAATGTTGAATACTTTTATCTCATACTACCATGATTCTGAGTGTTGCAGTTATAGTAGCAATTTAGATAAATGAATAAGAAAAAGTGATTATAGCACTTCTTTAAAAGGCAACGTGACCTGCAGCCTTAGGCAGCGTGGGTCATGCAGCCCCCTGGTCGTCTCCTGCTCCAGTGAGAAAGTGAGCAGGCTCTCAGGGGCCTGCAACACTTGTGGGTCAGGGATTGCCAGTACATTCTGAACCTAGTGACTGGGGTGTAGCATTGCAGGAAGATTTAAGGGATTCTGTAAGGAATGCTGAGCACTCTAAAGGGAGTCCTGAACTGAAAGAGGAATCAAGATAAGGGAATAATAGTCTTCTTTTGACTATTTTGATTAAAATCAGTGTAGTAACACAGTTTCGTGAAGAAATTAAGCCTGTGTGTGAGCAAGAGATTGACTCAGACCAGTCCTCCCACCAAACCTCTGATGATCAATCAACCTTATTTTGTAAAAGAAATAACAAGCCATTTGATAGCAGGAGACTTGTGTGAGTAGGAGAGTTAAATCGGTGGCTGCTGTTCTACTAATTTTTCTGTTTCATCACAGGAGAGATATCTGAAAATACTGCACTTTTCCATCAATTAATTAATCTAAGGTTGACATAGGCAGGATTATTTTTGAAATTATTTTCTCATGTAGTTCTCTTAAACAATCACTTTATTGCATATACTCTTTTTGTCTTACAGCTCTGATTATTAATGGAAAAATAATACTGGAACAGAATGTTGCTTACCTTTTGCCTGAAAAGGTGAAATCTTTTCAAACAGAAATGGCTGATAAGGGTGGAAAGATCCTTCCAGGACAATTGTACATTCAAGTGGAATACGACTATGAGTACGAGGCAAAGGACAAGAAAATTGTGATTAAGCAAGGGGAGAAATACATCTTAGTGAAAAAAACTAATGATGATTGGTGGCAGGTCAAAAGAGATGAAAATTCCAAACCCTTTTATGTGCCAGCACAGTATGTGAAGGAAATACCCCGAAAAGCACTGATGCCACCTGTGAAACAGGCAAGCATGCTGCCAAATAACACTTTGAAGTTAACACATGGATTACAGAGATCGACGGAAAATGTGAATAAGTCACCAGAGCTGTCTAGTTTTGGAAAATCTCCAGTTCAAGTGTCTTGCTTAGTTCGAGATGCCAATCAAAATCTGGGACCAAACAATACCCCTGGTCAAACTCTTGGTTTGAGTCTGGACCTTACCCAAAACAATGGAAAACTTAACAACGAGTTGCAATCTCCCAAGGTTTCCAATCAGTTTAGAACCATCTCCATGGGTCATTTCCCATGCCCAGAGTTCTTGGAAATAGAGAAGACCAGCTTTTTGCATGAACAATCTTGTGATTCAGCAGGAGAAGGCTCAGAAAAAATTCACCAAGATTCAGAGTCTGGAGATGAACTCAGTAGTAGCTCCACGGAACAAGCACAGGTAAGCTAAAAAGTGGCCCCTGTACGTGGTTTGTTTTCTCTCATTATTGCCATAATTGCTTGCTAGTGTTTTGAGATTTATTGCTAATAAATTCAGATGAAGTAAAAATGTCTTCTCTCAGCATGAACTTGTTATTGGAATCTGAACAGTTGATGAGTATAGCTCTAGTCCTTGCAGAATTACTGTGCTTTGGGAATTCCATTTACATTATACTGTGATTGAAAGTTACAGAAACACTATTGTTCTTTCTTTATTAGGGTTGTTTTGATATGACACTGAATTTGGGTTATATTTTCTTTCAGAGGAAGGGAACCTACTGTTGTAGCTCTTCACTACTTGGCTTGTTGAAATAACAGTGCTAGTTACTATTAATTTTTCCTAAGTGTGTATAGATAGGATAAGAGCTGTAAATTAATTTATGAGTGGGTTTAATAGTTTTAAAATGTTACACTTAAGATTTTCATGGAGTTTAATTTCTGCCTTGATTATTTTATTTGTAGACTTTTTTAATGAGTCAGCCCTGCCAATTCCACTTCTCACAACTTTACTCTAGATTAAAACTCAAAACATGTGAGTTTGTTAATTAGTATGGAAGAATCTCAGGAATGGTGTACTCCTACTTCAGGCTAAAACTGAGCATTGATGGCCTTTGTCCTTAGTAAAGCAGTTTCTCTCAGTCTTTATTGTTTTTTTTAACAGGCCTACCCCACCCCCACCAAAAGATTAGAACTCTGACTTAATCAGGTCACTTCTGGTACGGGTAACCAACTTAATTAGTGTGTTGTAATCCAGGTTTGTTCTTAAACCAGTGATGTATGTGTACATACACATAATTATATATGTGTGTGTGTATGTAGATAATTCCCCCACCTCACATCTGCCTCCCCCATCTTTCTGTAGGCAGATGTTAAATTATTTTAAGTTCTTTTAAACACTCCCTGGTCTTGAACTTTCTTACTCTGTAGTGTGAAACTCTTGTTGAAACTGTTGTTGCTTGGGTAAAACTGATTTGGTTAAATTCCACTTGGCAGCATGTATTCAGAGAACCAGATGATCTCAAGTCAAACTTGATGCTAACTTTAGAAATTGAAAATCATTGAGAGCTGTGAATCAGTACTTCGCTAATAAGACACAATGAAGACAAATCTGCTTAGGAATGAGTCAGTGTGGGAAGATCTTAAAGACAGAAGATTTATTAGGTGATTTATGTAGTCTTGAACTGTATGAGCTCATATATATATTTATTGAAATACTCAGAATCATTGGTTTTTCAATATCCTACTGTATTCTTGGCCTCATTCTTGAAATTCAGAATGTCTTTAGTTACGGGACAATATGCCTCTAATATTTGTATGTTTCATGATAATTTTATTTTAACTTCACTCCCCTGCCTTCCTCCAGATAAGGAATAAATAGGATTGCTGAATTTAGTTTCTTTTCTTCAATAATGTCTTTTGTATGCAATGAGTATACCAATTGTATGCCAATGAGCTTTCTTGCACTTTCTTTACAGCGCTGTCCTAACTCAGTGTAGTTGATATGAACCAGTTGGAATGATAAAATGATAATTAGATATTTATTTTAGAAGCGTGTGTTGGCCTGTTGACTGCCATAGTAATCGATTGCCAAACAGATTATGAGAATATTGAGGAATGCTTAGAAAGTATATCCTACTTTAAATAGTTTACCACATTAAAATTTATATTGCATGTTAGGACAGTTCCTTCTTCTGTGTTGACTATAATTTGATGCATTTCCTTCTCGAAAGTAGATGGAATTAATATTACATGGGTGTCTTTTGTGAATAATAAATATATGGCCTACTGCTCAGTTTTCACTGGACTTTGTGCCTGTTGATGCAGTGACACTTAATCTTTTCACCTTTCTCCCCTCTCCCACCCTGCCCCACTGTACTCAGCGCTACAACCAATTTATAAGTTTGGATTTAAGCGGGGCAGCAATGCACATACTGTAGACTTCACTGGGTTATGGAAGGTCTGAAGAGGGGAGTTTTCACAGTGCTTAAAAATAAATATGCCGGATTTCAGCTGTGGAAAACTTGTGGCAGTTTCTGACTGATGTTGCTGAAGAACTTGCCATTACCGCAGTCTAGGGCAAGGAGAGCGCGGGTGCTCGCTGTGCCTTGCAGTTCGTCTTATTTTGTAACTTAATCTCATTGTGCGTAATCACAAGCTCTTTAAATACAATGAAAATGTTTGACATTTAGTAGCCGTGGGGATTAAAGCAGTGGTAGCACTGATGTCACCGTTAGCTCAGTCTAAATATTCGGAGTGCCAGGCTTCTCACTGGAACAGCCTGGCGGTTTTTTAGAATTCTTTCAATAATGAGCATTGTTTAGTAGAAATCAGCTGTGCAGAAATTAATGGCTCAGAAAGCTGTTTTTATTGCTCTTAGTCTGTAGTGAGAACATCAAGTTCCCGGCTTTCAGGCATAAACAGGATTTCACTTCACAAGACTTGACTGTGCTTCTCCCTCCCCTGCCTGCTGTAGAGTTCAGTTTTATGCAGTCTGCATTATAATAAACTCTAAGCTACAGGTGTTTTCTCTTAAATTTGTAAGATTAGAAGCTAGAATGACCTTACTAATAATACCTTTGTGTGGGTAATTTTTTGGGGGGTATTGAGGTGATAGTATTCAGCTTTAGCCCAACCTTCAGTGTGTTTTCAGAGGAATGCTTCTGTTATGAGATTCTTCTAAGAGGTGGTTACATTATTCCCTGAAGATGATCCTCCTTCTCCTTTGCAGTAATGAACTGCAGGTTCTGCAACTGTACAGTCTTGAGCTCATAGGCATGCTGGCTGTGGAAATCCTGGAAGATCCAGAGCCTCCAAAGTACTGCGTAAAGGAAGGATTTTTTTAGCAGATGAGATACATGAAATGAACGATAGAGAGGTGGCAGTGTGAGCAGAAGTATTTGCTAATGGAGATGTGGCACAGGATCTGGTTAAGAGAAACCTCAGGACTGGGGTTTTATGCAAAGAAATTCCCACTATTGGGTGCAACTGTGGTGCATAAGGCATTGTAAGAGTCATGTTAGTTTATGGACTAGGAAGGCTGGAGGTAATTAGAGGAAGTAGGGCTTGACAGGAAACAAGTTTCAATTTAACCAGATTTAAATCTCTGGTGGAGACAGTAACTGCTGGTAGAATTGGAAGGGAATGAAATGGTTCAGGAGCGAATGCACAGCTGGGTGTAAGAATCACTGACATGATGGTGTCACTTAAAGGTGTGAAAATTAAATAAAATTTTAGGAAAATGTTGTCAGATGTGATGTGCTGATCCCCTAGGAAGGTCAAAAATACTCCTCAGAGATGCTGGGAATGTGAGGGAAAAGAAAATTTTGGAAGAGGAATTCTTTAGCAGATATGGGTAGTACTTGAAAGAAGCAGATGGGAGGTCCCAGCAATATGCAGTAGAAGGAGAGACCTCAGTAATTGTTCTGAAGAAAAAAAAAAATTACATGTTCAGGCATGCCTAAACAGGCAGGAAAAGATGAAGCAAAACTAGAAGACATTTAAAGTGGTCTTGAAATCAGCCTTGGGCAGAGTTTGCAGATAAAATCTAATAATAAGTTTTGAGAGAGAAGGTGTGCAGACAGGGAGAGAGTTGGGTAAGTTCAGAGATCATGTCCAGGATATTTAGGTGTTATCTTTGAGGATAATACTTTGGAATAAAGTTGTTACAGAAAGAAACTAGAGTCTGCTTTCAGCAATGCTAATGCATGACCTATGGTAAAAAACTTTGTGTCTGATCAGTGCTACCTCCTCTTCTGTCACAGGAGACATAGTATATATTTAAGAGTAAATACATGCCTGGTCTTAATGTTACTTTTTATGCTTATTAAAAGTTACTTTTAGTAGCAGGCTGGTTTTAATCATTATAAATATAGACAGTGACCTATTTGCAAAGATTGTTCTGTCTTTCATCCTCTTTAGTAATTGACTATTGCATAAACTGTGAAGCACTAAAGGGGATTATCACTAGGATGACTGTTTTGCTTTGATTAATTCTGAATAGTAAAGATCTTAAAGGGCTCTTTTTGTCTTACCTTTGCAATTTCTGTGGGATTTCTGTAACTTTTTAGTCAAGAAAACAAAATATTTTGTGTTTCTGTAGCTGTCAGAACAGATCTTCTGGAGCTATTGGCATTCTTGGCTTTGTCACTTAGTTTAAGGACTGGTGGCAAATGATTAGTGTTAAACTGCCTTGCTGGTCAAATATTAAACCTCTAAAATAAATGGCTATCACTGTTTTGTGAGGCCCAGAATTAGTTTGCTTCAATGATAGGAAATTTCATGCTGTTTTTTTTTCTTCATTCACTTGTTCAAGGGATAAATAATTTGACAGTATCAAGGAAGCATACAAGAACTTTTTTCTTAATAAAACTGAGTATATTTGCAGATTCATGGTGTCATGTATAATGTAATATTTTGAATTATGCTTTGAGTACTGTCCTTTAATCTCTTAACTCCCTAAAATCAGTATTTGTTATTCTAATGGTGCTAAATGCTGAAATAAGACTATTATAATGAGGTGAAGAATAACTTTCAATGACAAGGAACTAAAAGCTTTATAGTTTGAGTTTTATAAAACATTAATTTAATTTTTTTTTGTAATTACAGTAACTGCTACCAGAACTTTGTAAACAGCTTGAAATGTTTGCTAAGTTACATCAGTAACTCAAAGGTTCTAGGCAGATGACATTAAGGAATACTTTTCCTGGCTGGCTTTGTGTGTCTTTGTTGTTGTTGTGTTTTTTTTTTCCTACCTAGTGTCAACAGGTCTGGATAGTTTCACTTTACAGTGGTGCTGTTTGTGATCAGCTTGGTCTTAGTATTTTTAATATGTAAGTCAGGTAGCAGATAGTTGTCCCTCTCAGTCTGAGTGAGTAATTCTGAATTTAGATACCCTAAAATGAGAAGCCACCGTGTCCCATGAACACTGCCCACAGCCCATATCCCATATCCCCCTGTGAACGT